GGGCAGGAAGATGATGTAATTCAAGAGGTGGGTGGGAAGGTTTCAAAGGGAGTTGAAGGAACCTTCCAGAGTGTACAGTGAGGAAGTAGACTATGACTGGTTACCCTGAAGGAAGCTATGTGGCTTCTAAAGACATTTCTACCACCTCGGGGGCTGCCAGTGCTTAAAGGTAGAGATGCTGTCTCGAACTACAGTGCTTTATCTGCTACATGTCAGCTGGTTGTTCCTACATAAAGCCACAGAGGCCAAGCAGCTCTGATTGAATGCTCTTACACAAGACTTGGTAAGGCAGGCCAGGGACTGTTCTAGTCCCATTTTTACCCTCCAACATGCTCTCTCCATCCTTCAGCCTCAGGCTCACTGTCTGCTCTACCCTTAGGGTGTTAAGAATATCCATCAAGGGCTGGGAAGTTGGCTCAGTGGTAGAGCGCTTGCCTTGCATGCCTGAGGCCCTGGGTTCGATTCCTCAGCACCACATAAGCAAAAAGAAAAACGCCAGAAGTGGCGCTGTGGCTCAAGTAGCAGAGCGCTAGCCTTGAGCTGAAGAGCTGAGGGACAGCACTCAGGCCCAGAGTTCAGGCCCCACGACTGGACCCCCCCCCCAAAAAAAAAAAAGAATATCCATCAAATCAGGGTTTGGGGCTGAGGACACAACTGCAACTCCAGCACTAAGTCAGATGAGGAAGGATTCTAAGTTGGTGGCCAGCTTACGCTACATAGTGATATCTGCCTCCAATCAATCTATCAGAAATGTAGCTGAGCACTTGTGGCTCACACCTATAATCCTGGCTATTCGGGAGGCTGAGATCTGAGGATCAAAATTCAAAGTCGGCAAGAGCAGGAAAGTCTATGAAACTCTTATCTCCAATGAACCACCAGAAAACCAAAGTAGTGCTGTGGCTCAAAGTAGTAGAATGCTAACCTTGAGCAAAATCGCTCAGGGACAGTGCTCAGATCCTGAGTCCAAGCCCCACAACTGACAAAATAAATAAAAATAAAAAATAGAGGTATGCAACATCACAAACATGGGCCTAACTGAATTTCTAATCTTGCTTAAAGGATTCTTTGGCCTTCCAGGCAAAGCTACAAGAGATGGAAAGAAGTAAGTGAACCTAGAACCCAGTGGTAGGGATCTAAGGCCTTAGCAGTCAGAAAAGTTAAGAACTGTTTTTATCTCTAAGAACAATTTTGAAAAGTTCGGCAGGGGGGAGAGGGAGATGGACTATTTTCCAAGTATAGTGGTAGCTTTAGCTCAGTGTGTTGTATTACTTAAAATCTTTTTTGGGGGGCGGGGGGGTAGTTTTTTAGAACTCAGAAAGTATCTCTCATGTAATACACTATTCAGCCATCTGATAATATGCTTTTTTTTTTTTTTTTTTGGTCGGTTGTGGGGCTTGAACTCTGGGCTTGGGCGCTGTCCCTGCGCTCTTCAGCTTAAGGCAAGTGCTCTACCACTTGAGCCAAAGCGCCACTTCTGGTTTTCTAGTGGTTTATTGGAGATAAGGGTCTCACGGACTTTCCTGCCTGGGCTGGCTTTGAACCTAGATCCTCAGATCTCAGCCACCTGAGTAGCTAGGAGTATAGGTGTGAGCCACCGGCGCCCAGCTGATTAACATGCTTCTTAATAGTCACACTCTGTTTAGTTTCCACAATTAGAAACTGAGTACAATACGGGCCTAGTCTCTTTCCTTAACATTGAGATAAAATGATGCATGTGAAATTATTTTTACCTATGACCCCCACCCACACTTCCTGTCACCAAATAAGCCCTCACTCCTCTACTAACCCCTGTCTCCCATTCTACCCTTTACTGTCCACAGCTTGGATTACTTCTCCTGAGTAAGATGATGGAAGTACTGTCAGAAGAAAAGTGACTAGTGTAGGCACCAAACCTGCCTCAAGCCTTGAATCTAAAAAAACACTTTCATTGCACAAATAGCTCAGTGGACCAATCCCCCAGCTATCTTCCACTCAGAAATCATCCAGCATGGTAGCTAGACTCCAGTACACACAGGGAGTCAGGTATTAGTAATTGACACCTATAATCTCTCAGCTAGTCAGGAGATTGAGATCCAAAGGACCACAATTCAAAGACATCCTGGAGCCATCCAGCTCCAAAATAATCAGCAAAAAGCAGGGCTGCTCTAGGTATTGCCATACAGTGAGACTAAAAGGATATTCTCAGGGGAGGGCCCCAAAGGCGCAATGCCTCTGTGCCTCTGAACATTTAAAATAATACCTTTCAAAATGAATTCCAGGAGATGGAAATAAGGTGGATTTTTTTTCCCTGTTAAAAAGCTGGGCATTGTTGGCTCATGCCTGTAACTCTAGCTACTCAAGAGGCTGATATCTGAGGATCACCGTTCAAAGCCAATTGGGGCAGGAAAGTCTATGAGACTCTTATCTCTAATTAACTACCTGAAACTGGAAGGAAAGCTCTGGCTCAAAGTGGTAGAGTGCTAGCCTTGAGCAAATAAGCTCAGGGACAGTGCCCAGGGATAAGAGTTCAAGCTCCAGGACAAAAAGAAAAAAAGCAGGGTTGGAAGTGTGGTTCAAGTGATAGAGTACCAGTAGAGCAGGGAGGCCTAGTGTGAGGTGGGGGGGCAGGGAGCACACAGGCAGGCCCATGTTATTAGAAAAGTTCTCCTACTCTTCCACAGCCAAAATTCAACTCAGCATAAGACCGAGAGGGAATGGTGCCGGGCCTCAGATTAACTGAGGTGCTGTTGTATGCACTGCTGCTAATGGGTCATTAAAAAAGCTGGGAGTCAGAAAAATCTCATCCATGTCTTTGAACAGTGCCTGCTGTCCCAGCACCCAGCCTGCTGGCAGAACTAGCTGCTGAGCACCAAGTCCAGGAGGACAAGGAAGGGGCAGACAGAAGAAGGCCGACCCAGCTTGCTGTTTTTTGGCTGAGTAGGGAATTGACACAGACCACCTCCGGCTCCTGTCTGGAAGTTTCAAGATCAGAGAGCTTCAGGCACAGCTGGGTTCACAGCTGCACCATTTGGAGCACTGGACTCATAAATATTCATGAGCCATCCCCACCAATCGGTAGAGCGGATGCCATTAGCCTAGCATCTGTCGGGTTTTTGTGAGGGTTGTGTATGGAGGGTTTTTTTCCCCCCCTTTTAAATGAACTTCTTTTGACATTTTGGATTTGCCTCTGTGGGTTTTCCATCCTCGCCTGGCTCTCTGCATCATATAAAGGAGAGGCCCAGGGGAGGCGGGCAGGAAAGAGGAATGAATACCAGCCAGAGCTTTGCATCTGCCTGTTGACAAACTTTATTTCTCTTTCAGCACCTGGCCCCTCAGACAAGCTGTGAGGGCGGAAGCAGCATCAGGTAAATTATACCTAACAAGGTTCATGCCCAGAACTGTGAGAAGAGCTGGATCGGGGTCTTTCGGAGAGAACCCTTCATCCAGTGGTGAACTGGAGCCACACGCACTATGCAAGAGAGCTATAGTGCACAGTTCTAAACCGTTATTTCCACGCTGATAAATTCATGATTTATGAAAGTAACTACAGCCAGCCCCCACTCCCTCCTTCGCTGCTACAGCTTGTTAGTCACAAATTGCAACAACAGTCTTAAATACTTGCATTTTATTTCAGGCCAAAGCCCCTCAACTCTGAACTAAATGCCATGACAGTCCCACAACATAGGCCGGTAGTAAAAGAGCCCAGAGGCAGGGTGGATGGCCCGAGAGGGGAGAGCCACACACAGAGCGGTACAGAGCCCACGGCTGTCACTCCTACTCCTACCCTACAGTCTCAACTCTCAGTGAAGAGAAATGATGGCAGCAGGAGAGCAGAAGGCCTCATTGTCAAGGCAGGCATGTTGTTCCTCATCACCATCCCCAGAGCCCACTTTTCCAGGCAGAAACAAAGCATTGTGCCCCGCCAGACTGAACATACAGGCTTCCTTGCAACCCAGCTCAGAGGCACTGTGGCAGCTAAAGCCCTGGGGCTGGGGGGGGGGGGGGGGGGGAGGGGCAGGGAGGAGAGGAGGGGGAGCTGTTACTAAAAGGAAAAGAAATGGATTCAAAAGAAAAAGGAGCCACACAGGTGGCACGTGCCTGCAATCTTAGCTACTCAGGGAGCTGAGATCTGAGGATCACGCTTTGAAGCCAGCCAGGGCAGCAATAAAATAAACTACTAAAAAAGCCGGAAGTGGGACTGTGGCTCAAGTAGTAGAGTGCTAGCTTTGAGCAAAAGCAGCTCAGGGACAGCACCCAGGACCTGAGTTAAAGTCCCAGAACTGTCACACACACAAAAAAAGGAACCCACTTGAACTCCGCAGAACAGATGACCACAGACAGAAGAAGCAGGAACAACCCAACATGGCCTTTTCCAAAACAAAGCCCCTAGCACTGGTCCTGTCCCTCTGTCCGTGGCCAGTTACTTCTCTCAAGAGCCAGGAGCTGCCTCCAGCTCTCAGGTGCCTCAGCCCAGCAGATCTTAGGATATGTGAGGAAGCCCTGCAAGAGGAGTCACAGTGCCAGTTCTGTTCAGTGTTATTAGTGGAGAAAAAGCAAGGGGGGTGGTAGGACAATATTCACTGCCTTGTCCACACAAGGCAGGCAAGGGGCTGGGATGGTGGCTCAGTGGTAGAGCGCTTGCCTTGCATGCATGAGGCCCTGGGTTCGATTCCTCAGCCCCACATAAGCAAAAAGAAAAAAGCCGGAAGTGGCGCTGTGGCTCAAGTGGTAGAGTGCTAGCCTTGAGCTGAAGAGCTGAGGGACAGTGCCCAGGCCTAGAGTTCAGGCCCCACGACCGGCCCAAAAAAAAAAAGAAGGCAGGCAAGAGGCCAGCCTCTCAGAAATAAAGTGCTTCAGGGGCTACAGTAAAAACTGAAGGTAGGGCTGGGAAGGTGGCTTACTGGTAGAGTGCTTACCTTGCATGCATGAAGCCCTCAGTTTGACTCCTCAGTACCACATACACAGAAAAAGCCAGAAATAGCACTGTGGCTCAAGTGGTTGAGTTCTAGCTTTGAGCACAGAGAGGCTCAGGGACAGTGTCCAAGCCCAGAGTTCAAGCCCCAGGACTGGCAAAAAAAAACAACAACCCTGAAGCTAGCCACAACGTGAGTACAGCTACACAAGCATACTGTGGGGACAATATTCAGTATGGCAGCTGAGAATGTGCCACATACAGGTCCCCAAAATCAGTTACCTGAGTTGGTAGTGCTCCTGAGCTTATAAACACACCTGAAGAAATTCAGCTCCCAGGAGAGGGAAAATAAAGAGTCAGATTCAGAATCAGTAGCATGTGGGCCCTCCTTGTCTCTTACAAATGCCTGCTCAGCATCTATTCCTATAGAGGAGGCATGAGCAGCAATCACAGCCTACCTCTGTGTACCTGATCTCAGCAAGAGGTGACTGCAAGAAGCTAAGCAGACCAACTTCCCCTCTACCTGCCCTGTGCCCAGTCCCGCCTGGCCTGCATCTTCACCTGGCCACCTCAAAGTAGAACCCAGAACTTGGGGCAGAGCTCACTTTTCCCAAACTGTGTCTAGTGCATCAGGGTCCAAAAGCACAGCATGGTCCCCCACCGTGGTCTTCGAAGGTTGGGGAGTGGAGGGTCCCTTGTCGGATCTTGTGAAATCACAGCATGACGGTGAGGAGAGGGGTGGCAGTGTGGGACTTTCCAAAGATGGAACCTCAGACTCAACCATAGGCGCCCACACTTCTAAATAGTCCTTCTTTTCACTGGGAGGTGGTGAGGGCGAGCTCCTCCTCCCTGATCTTGGAAGAAAGCAGCAACTGGAAAAAGAGAGGGGAAAGAAAAAAGAAAAGCATGAGCCGACAAAACAAGCAAAATTGAATAGACAGACACAATGTGCATGCACTCTACTAGATGCTGAGGCCACCTAATAGAATGTTATCCAGCCATAAATCCAATGAAGTTCTGACACATGCTACCGCAGAGCTCGACTTTGAAAACCATTAACTAAGCAAAAGAAAAAAGAAAAAAGGCCAATTACACAAAGCTACACAGCACAGGACTCCATGTGTAAAATGTCTAGAACAGGCAAATCCACAGACACAGGAAGCAGACTGTGACTGCCAGTGGGGAATGGTCTCAGGACTGAAAATGTGGTTCAGTAGAACACTTGGGTAGTGCAGGAGACACTCTAGGTTCAATCCCTAACACGTCAAGAAAAAGAAAATGGTCTAAGATTGACAGGGATAATTCAGGTGTACAACCCAATAAATTTACTAAAAACTACTGAATACTAAAAAAATAAGTTTTTTTTGTTTGCTTATTTGTTTTGATTTGTTAGGTTTTGTAGCTCAAGTTCCTGAGTGCTGTGATTACAAGCTCATACTACTACTACACCCCACTCTGAAGAAGGAAATTTTATGGTACATGAATATTATGTTAATATTATAGTCAACAAGGCTGATTTTAAAAGGAGTGGGGGCAGGCACAGTTCATGTCTGTGATCCCAGTCACTCAGGAGGTGCTACTCAGAAGGATTTCATTTTGAGGCCAGCCTGGGCAAAGTTATCACAAAGTTATCTGAAAAACAGAACAGACTAAAAAGCAAAAGGACTGAGGGAATGTCTCAAGTGATAGAACACTTTTTAAAAAAATTGTTGGGTAAAGAACAGCTTGGCATCACTGGCTCACACCTGTAATCCTAGCTACTCAGAAGGCTGAGATCTGAGGATCCTGGTTCAAAGCTAGCCCAGGCAGGAAAGTCCATGAGACTCTTATCTCCAATTAACCACCAGAAAACCGGAAGTGGCACTGTGGCTCAAGTGGAAGAGTGCTTGCCTTGGGCTGAAGAGCTCAGGGACAGCACCCAGGCCCATAGTTCAAGCCCCACAACCCGGGGGGAAGAGGGGCAAACAGGACAAATGGACAAATAAGAAAGCCTACTCCATCTTCCTGAGTCTCATTCAGGAAGCAAGAAGCATGTACTCAGAGAATAAGGCCTCCTGTAAGGTCACCAATGCTGTGACGCTACCCTAACCAATGGATGGATACCTTACTGGCCTAGGTTATAGTAAGCCCATCCCAGCTACCTCAGAGAGATGATTCAATTACTTGTTAGGCTGGTCTCCTTCGGCCAGGTGAGAGGCACTCTGCCTCTCTTCCTGGGCCCAGCCACAGTTGGACATAGCATAGCGAAGAATAGCATCAGACACGTTCATGGAGCTTCGGCCCTGAACACAGGCTTCTATCTCAGGCACGGAGAGCTGGCTTTGCAGGAAGAGGTGCAACCGGCTGTCCGACAGAAGTACTACACTCTGCAGGACCCTAGGGTGTCACAGAGAGCACAACACAGAAGGTTACCCCTAGAAGCTGCTCTCCTTCTCAACCCAGGAGGGGCTTCTGGCTTCTGGAAGCACTGAGGATCTCAGAAAGGTGCCTGATTTCAAATGTTCCCAGAACATTCCTCTGCCCGCCCCCTCTCTGAAAGCCAAGGCGAGCCTGATAGGTCCACTCACTTCTCCAAGAAGTGCTGCAGACCTTGTCGTCGCTTCTCAATGAACTCATCCGAGCTGCCAAAGAAGGTGGACTTCCCAGGAAGGTCAGGTACAGGCCTTTGGAATCATAAAATGTCACAGTCAAGATAAATGGAACATCTCTCCAGTCCTTGGTCGAGGCAATCCCATGAGGACTCCAAATCAATACAATTAGATTTTAATAAGGGGAGAGACAGCTAACCCTGACTGACTGCATGTCATACGTCAGGCACTGTGCTAAATGTATAACACACATTATTTCATTTACTCCTCAAAAAAAAAAAAAAAAAAAAAAAAACCCATGAGAAAAACCTTTGTGTCCCATGTTAGGGCTCAGAGAAGTGCTGGGTGCAGTGTCATATACCTGACATTCCAGCAACATTGGAGGCTGAGATCAGGAGGATCTCGGTCCCAGACCAGTGTGTACAAAAAAGTTTGCAGATTGGCTGGGAATGTGGCTTGGTGGTAGAGTGCTTGCCTAGAATGCATGAAGCCCCGGGTTCGATTCCTCAGTATCACATAAACAGAAAAAGCCAGAATTGGCACTGTGGCTCAAGTGGTAGAGTGCTAGCCTTGAGCAAAAGAAGCTCAGGGACAGTGTCCAGGCCCTGAGTTCAAGCCCCAGGACTGGCAAAAAAAAGTTTGCAGACCCCATCTCAAAAGAAAAAGTTGAATGTTGATAGTGTATATGCACTTGTCATCCCAACTACAGTGAGAAGCATAAACAGGAGGATCATAATCCAGGCCCATCCAATTAATAAGCAAGATTCTATCTCAAAAATAACCAGAAGCGGGGGCTGGGAAGGTGGCTCAGTGGTAGAGCGCTTGCCTTGCATGCCAGAGGCCCTGGGTTCGATTCCTCAGCACCACATAAGCAAAAAGAAAAAAGTCGGAAGTGGCGCTGTGGCTCAAGTGGTAGAGCGCTAGCCTTGAGCTGAAGAGCAGAGGCACAGTGCCCAGGCCCAGAGTTCAGGCCCCATGACCAGACCCCCCCCCCCCAAAAAAAAAAAAAAAAACAAAAAAACAGAAGCGGGGCTGGGAAGGTGGCTCAGTGGTAGAGTGCTTGTCTAGCATGCATGAGGCCCTGGGTTTGATTCCTCAGTACCACATAAGCAGAAAAAGCTGGAAGTGGCGCTGTGGCTCAAGTGGCAGAGTGCTCGCCTTGAGCTGAAGAGCTGAGGGACAACGTCCAGGACCAGAGTTCAGGCCCCATGACCAGCAAAAAAAAAATAAAAATAAAAAAATAACTAGAAACTTTGCACAACAACTTAATAATAGTAATAATAATTTTTTTTTTTGGTCGGTCGTGGGACTTGATCTCTGGGCTTGGGCGCTGTCCCTGCGCTCTTCAGCTCAAGGCGAGCACTCTACTGCTTGAGCCACAGCGCCACTTCCGGTTTTCTAGCTGTTTAAGGATGGCTTTGAACCGTGATCCTCAGATCTCAGCCTCCTGAGTAGCTAGGATTACAGGCGTGAGCCACCAGCGCCCGGCTAGTAATAATAATTTTTTTTTTTTTAAAAAAGAAACATCACATTAAATAAAGAAAATAACCAGAGTAGTTGGGTACAAGTGGCTCATGTCTATAATCCTACTTACTCAGGAGGCTGTAATCTGAGATCATGGTTCAAAGCCAGCTCAGGCATGAAAGTTCATAAAGACTCCTATCTCCAATTACCCACCAAAAAGCTAGAAGTGGAGCTGTGGTTCAAGTAGTAGAGAGCTAGCCTTGCTCAAGAGTTCAGAAACAGCACCCAGGTCATGAGTTAAGCCCAATAACAAGTGTGCAACCTCTCCCCCACCCCACCCTACCCCCGACAGGAAAATTTTGCCTTTCCTAAAGCTCAGGAAAAAGAGCTCTAATACAAAAAGAAAAAAAAAAAAGACCCAGGCCCTAATGGTTCACACCTGCAATCCTAGCTGTTTGGGAGACTAAGAACAAGAGGATCACAGTTTGAAGCCAGCAAGGCAGGAAAGCTCATGAGACCTTCTTCTCAAACCCACAATGGGGTATGATAGCATGCCTGTCATTCTAGATGTCCATGTGGGAGACTGAGATTGGGAAGATTGAGATTCTAGGCCAGTCCAATCCTAAAAGTCCCCAAGAGTCCATCTCAACAAGAAGCTGGATGTGGTGACCCACACCTCCTCCATGCCTATCACCCCAGGTAGGGCACAAAAAATAAGATAGGAAGATCAAGATAGAGGCAAAAAAGGAAGGCCCTATCTCAATAATAACCAGGGCCAAAAGAGACATGGCTCAGCAGTAATATACTTGCCTAGCAAGCATGAAGCTCTGAGTTCAAACTCTAGGCAAAAATAACTAAATTAGGGCTGAGAATGTGGCTTAGTGGTACAGTGCTTGCCTAGCATGCATGAAGCCCTGGGTTCCATTCCTCAGTACCACATAAACAGAAAACGCTGGAAGTGGCACTGTGGCTCAAGTGGTAGAGCACTTGCCTTGAACTGAAGAGCTCAGGGACAGCAGCCAGACCCAGAAGTCCCAAGACGGACCAAAAAAAAAGAATAAAGAAAAGAAAGCATTCTGTAGTTTTCTTAGTACAAGTTCTTCAGTCAATTGAAGTTTCCAAGTAAGCACCTAAAGAACAGGCTACCACCCCAGCAGAGAGAAAGAGCAAACTCACACCAAACCAGCGTTTCTCTGAAGCTGCTTCCTCAGCCACACAAACTCTCGATATCGACGCCGCACACAGGAAGTCTTGGCAGTAAATGCCTTGCTGTTTGTCTACAGGAGGAAGTACAAAAGAAAGGGTTACATGGAAAGACCAAGTTCTTCCACACAAGCTCCCTGCCATCATTCTCACAGGGGGGCCAAGCTCTCAAGCCACCGTCCCAATCAGGCCCCAACTGGAGAAAAATGACAAACCACTAAAAGCCTGAAAAGGCTGGAAGCAACTCACAGGCATGCATGCCTCAAGAGCTTTTCTCCCATCCCTCCTTGGCTTATAAGTGTGCTGTGCCCAGCTGCTGGAAACACCTGTAAGCCAGTTCCACCACAACACAAGCCCTCAGCTTAGCCCTAGAGAATACTGACCCCAATACAGACGCTTAACAAACTCACATGGAGGAATATCTTGTAATCCACATAAGAATTCCAGGAGCCCTCATTCTGTATGCGGGGATCTTGAACACGAACAGTGATCACTTCCTGCAGGTGGAAAAAAAAAAAAAAGTGGGGGGGGGGCACTTCTCAGCTTCAACTCATCCACGCAGTAAGACAGCTAATCACACAGGCTGCCAGAATCTTCCACTCAGTGGAAACTTTAATTCATTTCTCCATTCAATTCAGAAAAAAAAAAAAAATCTCAGGCCCTGGGGCTTGAACTCAGTGCCTAGACACTGTCCTTGAGCTTCTTGTGCTCAAGGCTAACACTCTTATCACCTGAGCCACGTGCTACTTCCTGCTTTTTCTGAGTAGTTTATTGGAAATAATTGTCTCATGGACTTTCCTGCTTGTGGGCTTGTCTTCTAACCTTGATCCTTAGAGCTCAGCCTCCTTAGTGGCTAGGATTACAGGCATGAGCCACTAGCACTAACAAATATTATTCATTGAGCATTTACTATGTGTCCTATACTGTTTTAGGCGTTGGGGATAAAACATCAACAGGAGACAACAATCCTGGCCCTTAAGTAGTTTACAATCTAGCACATTCCAGCCAAGGGAAAAGTTGAACCTTGAAGCTGGGTGGTGGTGGCTCACGCCTATAATCCCAGCTACCAAGAAGGCTGAGATCTGAGGATCAGGGTTTGAAGCCAGCCCTAGCAGAAAAGTCCCTGATACTTATCTCCAATAAACCACCAAAAAGTCAGAAATGGAACTGTAGCTCAAGTGGTAGAGCACTAGCCTTGAGCACAAAGAGGCTCAGAAGCAGTGGCCAGGCCCTGAGTTCAAGCCCCAGGACCAGCACCAAAAAAGCAGTGGAACCTTGTTTCACAGCAAAGCAGCTACTACTTTCTTCTCTTGGCTTTATCTTTGAGCTCAGCAAAATCACAAACATACTACTATGGGAAGAACACCAATGAGCAATGATTCGTATGTATCTATGTGTCCCCCTTTCAGTCTCTCCAATGTTTACCCACCTGTTCCTGAAAAACATTCTTACCTCCTGCTCTTGGTTCTCCGACATCCTACTCCAAAAGCCCACTGGAAGAAAACATCTGTTGAGAGAGACAGATCAGAGGAACAATCACAATTACATTTTCTTAGGGAAAAACCCTGAAATTTTTTAATAGAAGTTCCCTAAATTTCCTCAGGTCATTTTTTTTTGGGGGGGGGGGGTGTTGTTCTGTGTAAAACTTGAGGAAGCAAAAAGAAAAAGAAAATGCTGACATTAGATCCATGTCATGCTAAAAGTCCTAGGGAAATTGCCTGCCAAGACTCTCCAGAAGGCATCCCTACCCAAAGCATGTCCAAGTATGTGGGAAGTTGTGTTTCAAGCTGCCAAAAGGGCAGGCTGAGTTGTAAATCTTTTGCTTTAAGGATTGTGAGTCTGATGGGCACTCAGATCACAGCTTTGAAAGGGAGCCTAACAGTGCCCCCTCCTGGCAATTTAGAGACAGCCACGTTCTTAAAATATCAACAGCTCCTGAATCTCCCTTGCTAACAAGTCACCTTCCCACAGGTGAATCGGGAAGCTAGAGCACTCAGGGGAGCATCTGGGTGAGCTGCCCAGTCGCTACCTCCTTCATCAAATCAGCTTTCTAGAACCAGAGCCAATAGTTCTAATCATTTCCTCTCTCGACAGCCACACGGTTTGTATGTCTGCCCAAGCACCCCACAGCTGCATAGGTCGACTCAGGATGCATTCTGCTCCTTTGTAAAGATTCATTAAAGTCTAAGTCCCTGATTTCCCCCAATGTGGTAGTTTACAAGTGTAGCGACATCACCCATTCCAACAAGGGGACCATGAAGGCTGCAGCACAGGGTTACTCAAGCCCAAAGAGGCCCATGATGTCACCTTCTGTTAAAATACAGCACTAATCTTGTTACTCCTAGAGCTACTCCAACAGCATCCACCCTGGCTGCCACTTCCACCCCCTTCTTCTCTCTTAAGAGCGGAACAATAAGGTTTAATTTCCCTTTCCAATTTACCTTGAAATGAAAACTGACTTCAGCCAATATGTACTGCCAACAAATGATCCAGGCTGGCTCCTGGGAAAACAAAGACTATCTCTAAATGCCCCCTCTCCTCCCCTGGCCCCCATGCCCACTCACACACCCACTCACTTTTACAGTCCTACAATTAATTTTAAACACATTCTCTTATTAGTTCTGCCTTACCATTAAGAAGTGTAATGAGTTCCCTTCTATTTTATGTTTTGCTAACACAAGGCTAACGTTTCAAAATAAGGGAACTCATTTACAGCACGAAATTAGCAGAGCAAACAGCTTTTGCAATTCTTTCCAATATACCAGAAGGTCTCTCTACAGACAGACCCTGCATGCAGAGACAAAGCTACATGCTAGATGACAAAATTGGGCTACACTGTGGAGCCAACCCAAGGTGTTGTGATTTCAATACGACATTAAACAGTATTCTTGCTGACAAACTGATTTTTCATCTGATGCAACTGCTACCTCCAAGGGGTCCTGAACTGAAAGGTAGGAAATTCCAATTCTCCAACAGCCCATGGAGAACAGTCCAGATGTAAGCAGTCAAATGGCAGAAACCAAGAAGATCCAGCAGAATTGCTGTGAATAACTAACCTCCTCCAAATAATTTTGTTTTCTCTTTTCTTTCCAGGCATTTGGTAAATTGCCAAACTAGGAGCAGAGAATTAAATATTCTTAATTGTCTTTTCACAAATGTAAAAGAAAAGATGATGACAAAGAAACCACAGGTATCCATCCACATGTTCACTAGCACTCACGCATCTCTTGTGCCTTGAAACGGCTTTTCCAAACCCAGGACCATAACTTAGGAACTAAATGGTCATCATACCTTTGGTCTCAAGAAGAATTAGATGGGGGAAGGAGGTTCGGAGGGGGAGGGGGAAGGGGAGAAAATGAAGGAGGGGGTAACACTGTTCAAAAAGAAATGTACTTGCTGGGTGCTGGTGGCTCACACCTGTAATCCTAGCTACTCAAGAGGCTGAGATCTGAGGATCTCGGTTCTAAGCCAGACCGGGGAAGTCCATGAAACTATTACCTCCAATAAACTACCAGGAGACCAGAAGTGGCACTGTGGCTTAAATGGTAGAGCACTCGCCTTGAGCTGAAGAGCTGAGGGACAGCGCCCAGGCCCAGAGTTCAAGTCCCATGACCGACCAAAAAAAAAAAGAAAGAAATGTACTCATTACCTGACTTATGTAACTATAACTCATCTGTACACCACTTTTACAATAATTTTTTTTAAAAAGAATTAGATAGGGCTGGTATCAGTGGCTCTTACCTATTCCTAGCTACTTAGGAGACTGAGATCACAGGATCAAGGTTCGAATCCAGCCCACACTAGAAACTCTGAGACTCTTATCTCCAATTAACCACCAAAAAGTCAGAAGCAGGGGCTGGGAAGGTGGCTCAGTGGTAGAGCGCTTGCCTTGCATGCATGAGACCCTGGGTTCGATTCCTTAGCACCACATAAGAAAAAAGCCAGAAGTGGTAGAGCACTAGCCTTGAGCTGAAGAGCTGAAGGACAGCGCCCAGGCCCAGAGTTCAGGCCCATGACCAGATCCAAAAAAAAAGTCAGAAGCAGAGTGGCCCAAGTGGTAGAATGCCAGCCTTGAGCAAAAAGGCCAAGACAGCAAATAGGCCCAGTTCAAGCACCAGTATTTCCCCTCCCCCCTCCCTCAGTGTCAGAGGACACTGAGATTGGACACACAGCTTAAGTGGCAGAGTGCTAGCCAAACAAAAATTTTGGTGTTAACTTCCCTTAAAACAATGGAACAAATGCATAAACCTAGAGTTAAATAATTTTTAGCAACTACTATTCTCCACCAGCTTTCTTCCCAGAGATAACTAACAATCCTCAGAGGAATAAGAAGCTCTGCTCTACCTTTGGAGAGGCAGAAAGTTTTAACTCAAGCTCTATGATTTAGGAGGAAGGCTAGTCAGTGACTCCTGCTGTATTAGGCAACTTCCTGGGCCATCCTGGGGTGTTGAACTCAGGGCCTCAAGCTTGCTAGGCAGATATTCTACCACTTGAGCCACTCTGTCAGAGCCCTTTTGATCACTTCTGAAGTATCACTTATGTACTGGCACCAATAGCTTTGGCTGAAAATGTTTACTGTTTACAAAGTGGATTCATTAAAAAAAAAAAAAAAAGCTTATAATGCTTCCTAAAGTCTTCATTCAAAGTAGCAATTGAAGGTCTAGCCTCACCATTTTCTCTCCCATCTAACTACTTCAAGGGACAAGCTAAAAAACAAACCAAGCTATTAGCACCAGCAAGACTCCTCCTCCTCCTTACTCATTCTTGAGCACTTAGTAGTACTAGATGGAAACTTAAAAAGCTCTCCTTCCTAAATACCAAAGGTGACGGAGGAAGCGCCCTCTGACCAAGCCCTGTGTGATCTCAGCAAGCAGCTCTAGTCCATCATTAAGTCCATCGGAGCCTGCGTCCCGCTGCAATTGTGTCCTCCGACCCTAACCTAGCACAAATCTTCTGTATCCACATAAAACACCATCAATCCAGTCCAAGCATCTGGGGTAAAAGTCTGCAAACTTTGACTGTGGGCACTCCCCTCTCTCCTTTCTTTATCACCTAGGAGCAAAACAGACTCCTTTCCCAGTTCAGCCGGGGGAAATGGTAAGGAAAGATACCTTGTCCTTTCTAAGTAAAAAGGCTTGGATCCCTTAACGATCCCCAGCAAGCCCTCGCCTTCATCCTGGGTGGCAAGACAGTCTCCTTCCCCAGGGCGCCAAGCGAGACCACTACCCAAATGTCTCACTGACGCCTGGGTCCGAAGACCTCCCCACACACACCTGAGAGCAGCACCGGCCCCCAGGACCCTGCCCAGGCCCCCCACCTCAGAGCAGCACCGGCCCCCAGGACCCTGCCCAGGCCCCCCACCTCAGAGCAGCACCAGCCCCCAGGACCCCGCCCAGGCCCCCCACCTGAGAGCAGCACCGGCCCCCAGGACCCCGCCCAGGCCCCCCACCTGAGAGCAGCACCGGCCCCCAGGACCCTGCCCAGGCCCCCCACCTCAGAGCAGCACCGGCCCCCAGGACCCTGCCCAGGCCCCCCACCTCAGAGCAGCACCAGCCCCCAAGGCCCTAGCCACGCCCCTTTACCTCAGAAGATCGCCAGCCCCCAGGGCCCCGCCCAGGACCCTCACCTCAGAGCAGTACCAGCATCCCACAGCGACTCTACCAGCGCCCCACCACAGAGCCCTACTCCCGGCTTCTCCTTCCGGGTGAGTCGCCAGTGCCCCGGTGCACGACGGGAGACAGCTCCGGACACACCAATCCCAGGACGCCCAGCTCCCTCAGGACGGGTTCTGTGGCGAGCGTTTCCCGGAGGCGCGGCTGCGGGGGCCCCCTGGAGCGGGGATTTCCCGCCACCGCCCCCTCCCGGATTCCTAAGCAACCAGCCACACACTGGGGGCGCTGGAGGCGGGGCACAGGAGGGAAGCAACGAATGGGGTCTGTTGTCCAATCCAGGGCTACGTCCTGCCCACCGGCCGCCAAAGTCAACCAATCAGCGTTCAGGGAGCCTCATTAACAATTCCCCTCCTTCCCCCCCGCCCCCGCCGCCCCTTACTGAGCTCGTCCCAGCTGTTCCTGTTCGGCCGTGGGCACTTGGTAGTAGGGGGAAGTTCAGGGGAAAAAACGCCCACATTCCTGAAGCCACGGAGTCCCCTGAGGGTCCCCGCAGTAACTCCGGAGCTTCCACTTCCCCTACAGAACTGTTCAAGGGAGACGCCAGCCCAGATTCCGCGAGCCGCAGTTGGTCAGAGCGAAAACCAGCTTGCAACGCCTACAACAGCCAAGAAAAACGTCCCATATGCTGAAACGCCTTTTAAACCTGTTTAAAGATAACGTTAGCAAAATAGCTGGTCACATTACAAGCCATAAGAGAGGCGACTTCAGTACTACCATCGGCCTTCCATTGACCCTGCGCATCTCTGTCCTGCATCTCTGTCAGACCAGTGCAATGAACAAATGGTAATTGTATGCTCTGTATGGGGAATATGAGTGCGCATAACTCGAAGCAGAGTCTTCCAAACTTCTAGGTCTCCGGACTCTTTTACCACAAACTTTTAGAAGTGAACGCATGGGGACTGGGAATGTGGCTTAGTGATAAGAGTGTTTGCCTACATGCATGAAGCCCTGGGTTCGATTTCTCAATATCACATACACAGAAAAGGCCGGAAATGGCGCCATGGCTCAAGTGGTGGAGTGCTAGCCTTGAGCAAAAGAAGCTCAGGGACAGCGCCCAGGCCTGAGTTCAATCATAATCATAATCATAATTAAGACATGAAGAAGCTTCTGTTTTTGTAGACTATTCATTGTGAAATGAATCTTAGCTAATCAGAAGGCTGGGATCAAAGGATCCGTGTTCAAAGGCAGCCCAGGCAAGAAAGTCTGTGAGGAAGTGGTGGTGTAGCTCAAGCGGTAGAGCGCTTGCCTTGAGCTGAAGAAAGCAGGGACAGCATCCAAGCCCAGACTTCAAGCCCCATGTCCGACAAAAAAAAAAAGAAAAGAAGTCTGTAGACTCTTATTTCCAATTAACTACCAAAAAGCCAAAAGTGGAGCTGTCGCTCAAGTACTAGAATGCTAGCACAAAAACTCAGGGACAGCGCTCAGGCTCCCAGTTCAAGCCCCAGAACCAGCCAAGACTTGTGTGCATGCAAACACACACACACACAAATAAATCCAGGTGCCAATTAGTCTCCACTTAACCAGTGGAGGTGCGGCTCAATTATCAGAGCACTAGTTTTTTGCCAGTCCTGGGGCTTGATGGGCACTGTCCTTGAGCTTTGTGTTCAAGGCTAGGGCTCTAGGTTGACCCATAGCACCACTTCCAGCTTTTTCTGAGAAGTTTATTGGAGATAAGAGTCTCATGGACTTTCCTGCTCCAGGTGGCTTTGAACTGCCATCCTCAGATCTCAACCTCCTGAGTGGCTAGGATTAAGTGTGAGCCACCAGTGCCGGGCTCAGAGCACTAGTGCTGAGAGAAAAACCCAAGAGACCGTGTCCAGGCCCTGAATTCAAGTCCTAGTATCAACATAAATAAAATGTGAACATAAATGAATTTTGTACTTAAGCTTGAATCCTAACCCCAAGATAGCTCATGATGCATATACAAACAGTCCAAAACCTAACAGAAAAAAAAAAAAGCCTGAAACACAAATTACATCTGCTCAAAAGTATTTCCGGGAAGGGATATTCAACCAGTTACTCTCCAGCAGTGATCTTTTCAAAGTCAGAACTACAGGTGTGTGATTTGAGAATGGTGCATTTTAGAGTATATATATTACCTAGAAATTTTACTAAAAGAAATCACTCAAACCAGAAAAGGAAGAAACCCCATGAATATATTTGCTTTTTAAAAGATGGTACTTATTAACCCCAAATAAATGAATCTCTAACAAAAGAATTTCAAGTCAAGTAAAAAATGAAACAAAGAATTTCCAACTGTGTGTGTTAGGAGGGGGGTATTTGAAAAGTTCTGTACTTCCCCTACTCAAATTACATCAGAAGTACCTACAGTATTTAAAATAGCTACCATTTACTGAGAGCTAGCTACATCATTCTCTTTACCCAACACTATTAATTCTGAAGAAATAAAGTATGTCTAAAATAATATTTTCATCCCCCACCCCCTTGGAGGCTGAAGTTCAGAGAAGTTAAACAGCTGGTCCAATATTGCATCAAGTAAATAGAGACAAAGTAAAATCCATTTCAGTCATTCCTAAATCCTTTGCAACACAATTTCCCCTTCACCACATTACTTGTGACTTTATGTTTTTATTTAATTTTTTTGGGTCCGGTTGTGGGGCCTGAACTCTGGGCCTGGGCGCTCTCCCTCAGCTCTTCAGTTCAAGGCTTGCGCTCTATCACTTGAGCCACAGTGCCACTTCCGACTTTGTTCTTTTTGCTTATGTGGTGCTGAGGAATCAAACCCAGGGCCTCAGGCATGCAAGGCAAGCGCTCTACTACTGAGCCATCTTCCCAGCCCCTACTTGTGACTTTAGAAATTTGATCTACCTAATGCATTTTCTGTGAGTATGAGTAATGTCAGAGTTAACATCTAAGTCACTCTTAGAAAAGAAACTTTAAGGGTCTGAATAACATAAAATATCACTATTCTTGGTGTGTGTGTGTGTGTGTGTGTGTGTGTGTGTACTAGAACTTAAACTCAAGGCCCTGCACTCTTCCTTGGCTTTTTTCACTCAAGGCTATTGCTCTGGCACATGAGCTATGAGCTACACCTCCTTTTCTGGCTTTTTTTCTTTTTGTCGGTAGTGGGACTTGAACTCTGGGCCTAGGCCCTGTCCCTCAGCTCTTCAGATCAAGGAGAGGGCTCCATCACTAGAGCCACAGCACCACTTCCGGTTTTCTGGTGGTTTATTGGAGATAAGAGTCTCACGGACTTTCCTGCCCAGGCTGGCTTTGAACCCTGATCCTCAGGTCTCGGCCTCCTGAGTAGCTAGGATTACAGGCGTAAGCCACCAGCGCCTGGCTCTTCTGGCTTTTTGATGGTTAAATGGATGTAAGAGTCTCTTGAATTTGTCTGCATCAGCTTGAAACAGCAATCCTCAGATCTTAGCCTCCAGAGTAGCTAGAATTACAGGTGTGAGCCACCTGAGCCTGGCTAGGGCTAGGTTTCTTACAAGGCAATTCTCCAAAGCTCTGAACAGTGCCAGGCTCAGCAAAATTTGCATAAACATAAATCAGGTAGAATACAGTGGACTAGTTATGCTTCCCCTCTCCCTCATTAGGGAGAGATTTTATTATTCAAACGAAGAAAGAAAACGGTCATCTTTTCTGGTGGAAAAGTTTTATTCAGTTCTGGAACGGATTGCAAAAAGGGAGTAAGGGAGGGTCATAAAACAAACCTGAGATGAAGAAATGATAGAGAAGAGTTGGATCAGCTTCATTTATTGGAGGTAACTCTTACTGACTTTCCTTCCTGGGTTGGCTTTGAACCTCGGGTCTCAGCCTCGTTAGTAGTTAGCCTTACCAGCGAGGAGTCCCCAGCGGCAGGCACAAGCGCGGTCTTTGTCTAATTCTGTGCGCGAAGGGGGGGGATAAAGGCTGGAGAATGGGTGATCCCGGAGGTGAAAGTGTCCGCACAAAAGCCACCCACTGACAAGGACAAAAGGAAAATTCAGGAACGCAGGCGCCGCCTAACAGAGGTATTTACCTTTTTTCAAGGTGGGCAGTGCCGGCCTCGAAGAGGAAGTAATCTCCTGCCGTGGAGGAGCCTCGGGTTCAAAGTGACGGAGATGGACGTTTACAGAGATTACAGGTGTTGGAGGAGCAGACATTTGGTAGCTCTAAGTGAGGAACGTGTTGAGAAAACGTGCAGGACGTGAATCACAGAACCTCCCAGAATAGGATGGTTTTTCCCCAGACGAGGCGTTCGCTCGTAAAACCGCACGGTCTAGTGATCTGGTCCGTGGGGCTCCAAAACAAGTCGCGGCGCCTGGGCAGTTTAAAGTCGAAAAACTCCCTACAACCCCCGCAAAGTCTGCGTGTGCTGTGGGACGCGCGGGCCACCCTGGGATTTGTAGTCCCGGACGGGCTCCAAGTCCCATGATGCCGTGCGGCGGGTCGTCGCGCCTGCGCGGTGAGGGCGGCGGGCCGCGCAGAGTGAGAGGCTCTTTTGTTTGGCGGAGGGGAGGGCCGTCGGCCGGGCCTGCGGTACGCCTCTTCAGAGCGAGGGTCGACTGCGGACACCCGGCGTGTTGCTTTCTTGGGCACCACTTGCTCGTCCCATCCAGTACGACGCGCCAGTCGCGCGATACCGATTTCTCTCTGACTCTCGGGCGCTGCTCTGAGGTGAAGAGCCCCTCCGGGCGGCGGGAGGGGGCGCGGCGCGACGCGGCGGCGGCGGCGGGAGCCCGGGGTGTGGGGCCGCGCGCGTTCTAGCGGTGGAGCCGGGAAGCGTGGAGCGCACCCGTGTGCGATGCCCAGACTTCCCTTCCCGCGCGGGCTTCTCCGCCTGGCGCCAAAGGCTTAGGCGGCAGCTGCGTGATGGATGGAGAGGGCGGGGCGGTGGATTCGGAGCCCGGGATGGGAGCCGCTCGGTGTGGAGAGAGCACTTGGCGGGGTCTTCCGGGCCTGGGGAATCCGACCGAATACTGCCTGGGTTGGGGAACGAACCCTGAGACTGTGAGGGGACAGCCTGGATGCTTGGGTGTGCTTGGCGGGGGCCGATTGCTGCTAGATCGGGGGTTGTTAGAAAAGGTAACCTGAGGCTTTGGGGTCCGGACGAGGTTGGAGGAAGACTTTTCTCTTGCTGGGCTAAGGAAGAAGAAACTTGGGAGCGGGGACTGGGCTGCCGGGGCGTGTCATGGGGGAAAGAGTTCCGATGAATATAAGTCGGGGAAGGGAGAAAGATCAGGTAGTTGAGTTTCCCGGAAATTTAGGATTACGAGGTCCCGAAGGTACTCGGGTAGTGTGAGAGGAAAAATAAAAGGGGGGGTGGGCAAAAAATCGCCTTTGGTTCGTGAAGTGTTTGGCGTAAGGAGGTTCTAATAGCTGTGACGCCGGGCTTCGGTGTCCTCAGCTACTCTGGAGGCTGAAATGTGAGGATCGCGGTTGGAAGCCAGCAGGGGCAGGAAAGTCCTCGAGACTCCTACCTCCAAAGAAGCGCCTGGAAGCCGGAAGTGGAGCTGTGGGCTCAAAAGTGGTAGAGCGCTAACCTTTAACACAGAACCTCACACACAACACCTAGGTCCTGAGTTGTAGTCCAGGACACACACACACACACACACACACACACACACACACACACACACACACACACACACACACGGCTAAGAACAAAATGAAATCCGCTTTGTTCCTTTTTTGTTGTTGTTGATTTTTCGTTTCGGTGAGATGAAAGTGTGCTGTCCAGGCTGCTCTCCAACTCCTGGACTCCAGCTATTCCCCCACCTTAGCCTCCTGAGAACGAGGACTACAGATTATACCTCTGTGCCAGGTTTCCAGGGTTTTGTTTTTGGGGTGTTTTGGTTTTTGTTTTTACTACCTTCATTCACTCCGTGGCCAAGTGCAACTATTGCTTCAGTTCAAAACGAGTTTCCTGTTCACGATTAGGATCGTTACTGGTTTCATAAAAGGTGGTGGCTTTATAAAAATGCATAGATGACTTAACAGTTAAGTTTAGGGGCTGGGAAGGCAGCTCAGTGGTAGAATACTTGCCTTGCATGCATGAGGCCTGGGTTCGATTCCTCAGCACCACATAAGCAAAAAGAAAAAAGCGGGAAGTGGCACTGTGGCTCAAGTGGTAGAGCACTAGCCTTGAGCTGAAGAGCTGAGGGACAGCGCCCAGGCCTAGAGTTCAGGCCCCATGACCGGATCTCCCCCCCCCCCCCCCCAAAAAAAAGAAAAAGAAAATAACTTTATGAGATAAAATTTTTCTTGTATGTTTGTTTTCAAGGTAACCTTATTAAAAAATGAATAGGAAGTGAGCAATCCATTTTCAATGCTTCAGGAGAAAATTTATATAAAGATGAGTTATAATGGAATCTCTAGCATCTCAAAATTGTATTAAGAATTCAGTCCGTCCCATACACTGGTGGCTCACACCTGTAATCTGAGGGTGCCAGTCCTGGACTTGAACTCAGGGACAGGGTACTGTTCTTAAGCTTTGGTGCTCAAGGCTAGCACTCTACCACTTGAGCCACAGTTTCACTTCTGGCTTTTTAGTGATTAATTGGAGGTAAGAGTCTCACGCATTTTCCTGCCCTGCTAGTTTCAGACTCAGCTTCCTGAGTAGCTAGGATTATAGGTCTGACCGACTGGCTCTCAGCCTATGTGACTCTTACCTCCAGTTAACCAACAACAACAAAAAGCTCAGGATACAGGCCCTGAGTTCAAGCCCAGGACACACATACACACAGTGCATTTAGACAGTTTGTCTAAGATCTGTGATGTTTGGCAGGGTATGGCTATTACCCTGATGTGTTTGCCTTAACCTCATTTTAAAATATATTTGCCTAGATATTAAGCATAGAAAAGGTTTGCAACCTTCTGTTATTTTAGGCCTCATGAATATGTGTTCACACACACACATGTATTACTGGGGGTTGAACTCAAGGCCTTAAACATCTGAAGCCCTATTTTCTGTTTTTAAAGTATCTTAGCCTGGGGATATAGCTCAGTAGAGCACTTGCCTACTAAGCACAAAGCCCTGGGTTCAGCCTCTGGTACCCCAAAACAGAAACTCAGTTCTGTATGTGTGTGCTGATGTGCTGGTACTGGGGTTTAAACTCAGAGCCCCATGCTCTTGTTTAGCTTTGTCTTTCAAGACATACTGCTGGCTCTATCACCTGAGACACACACCTTCATTTCTGCCCCTGCCCTTGAAACATGATCCTTGTATCTCAGGCTCCGAGAGAACATGTGTGAACTACCTGATGTGTGTGTGCACCCATGTACAGGTAGCTGCCTGCCTGCCTGCACTATAGCTTGAACTCAGGGCCTGCGTGCTGTCTCCTAGCTTTGTCACTCAAGGCTGGTGCTCTACCACTTGAATCATACCTTCACTTCCAGCTTTTTGCTGGTTCGTTGGGGATAAGAATCTCTGGTTTGTGTACCCTGGTTGGCTTTGAACCATGATCATCAGGTCTCATTCTTCTCAGTACCCAGGATTTAGATGTGAACCACCAGCTTGCAGCTTGGTGTTGGTTTTTAAGCAAGATCGAGCTTTATGGCACAGATTGGCCTGGTACTCTATATTCTCCTGCCTCTGCTTCCCAAGTGCCGAGATCACAGGTGTGTACTAACATACCTAGCTCTAGTCATTTTTATTTCACCTTAAACCTTAAGAGGTTTACTTTAAGGCATCACTGTGTTCTGAGATTTCTCAAATTCCTGTGGCCTCTCAACTCAAAGCTATACAGTTTCATCCTGTCAACAGATTAGACTAATTTCTGAATACATCACAAATAAACTCAAACTGTATTCACATACTAGTATTCTGTCCTCAGAGCCTCTGGAATTCAGAAGCATGGATTCGCCTGCACTGGTGTCTCACCCCTATAATCCTAGCATCTCATGAGGCTGAGATCTGAGGATCACAGTTCAAAGCTAGCCCTGGCAGGAAAGTCCATAACATTCTTATCTCCAATCAACCACCAGAAAACTGGTAGTGGAGCTGTGACTCCAAGTATTGGAGCTCTAACCTTAAGTAAAGAGCTCAGGGACAGTGGCCAGGCCAAGTTCAAGCCCTGTGACCAACAATAAGCACATGGGGGGCTGGGAAAGTGGCTCAGTGGTAGAGTGCTTGCCTCGCATGCATGAGGTCCTGGGTTCAATTCCTCAGCACCAGAAAAAGCCAGAAGTGTGCTGTGGCTCAAGTGGTAGAGCTCTAGCCATGAGCTGAAGAATTCCGGGACAGCACCCAGGCCCAGAGTTCAAGCCCCACAACTGACTTAAAAAAAAAACAACACAGGTTTTTCTAAAGTTCAAGTTCCTGTTAGGTGTGGAAGCACATTCCTAAGACAAGATTGAAGTTCAGGCATAATCGGTGCTAAATAGTGAAGCATTATCAAAAAACCATCGGCCAGGCACTGGGCTCATGCCTGTAATCCTACCTACTCCGGAGGCTGAGATCTGAAGGATCAGAGTTCACGGCCAGCCTAGGCAGGAAATTCCGTGAGACTCTTATCTCCCATAAACCACTAGAAAACCGGAAGTGGCACTGTGGCTCAAGCGGTAGAGCACTCACCTTGAGCTGAAGAGCGCAGGGACAGCGCCTAAGCCCAGAGTTCAAGTCCCACAACCGACCAAAAAAAACCATGGGCTGGGGATGTGTGGCTCATTGGTAGAGTACTTGTCTAACATTCAGTAGTCCTCCGACATCCTGCAGCATAAAAAAAAAAAGAGAGTCTGCTCACTGTAGATGTGGTTTTCTGCTCAAATTTTTCATCTGGAAAGCATCTGCTTCACAAACAACCACAGATGACAGACTAAAAAGCCCGTTAGAAACATGACTACCACCTGAGTATACTATTACACTACCCGTGCCTTCACTTGCTTTTTGAAAACTGGCATGCTGCCAGTTTATTCACTTGTTTTCTGTTGAGGGTTTGTGGATTAGATTCATCTTGCTGGTCGTTCCTTAAAAATCTGTCAGTTTTGGATTTCTGTGTCCCCTGATTATCTGAGTCTGAAACAACCCTTTTGCCCATGTAGCATTCATGAACTTGCACAGAACCTAGAGTTACTTTTAATTGAGTGTCCAAGTAAAACTAGAAGCACAGTGTGAGAGAAATAGTCTAAAATGGTTGGAACCAAATGTTGGATGTTACACTGTTGGATGTTGGACCTTTGGTTTTTAAGGAGATGGAGAGGCCTTATAGAAAATTTTACCTTAGGGCTGGAAAGGTGGCTCAGTGGTAGAGTGCTTGCCTTGCATGCATGAAGCCCTGAGTTCGATTCCACAGCACCACATAAGCAAAAAAAGCTGGAAGTGGTGCTGTGGCTTAAGTGGTATAGCACTAGCCTTGAGCTGAAGATCTGAGGCACAGCACCCAAGCCGAGTTCAGGCCCATGATCGACAAAAAAAGAAAAATTTACCTTAATCTCTTTCCTATTCCAGCCCAAACTTGTTTATAATGGTGCTTTATTTGCTTATTTATTAATTATTATTATTATTATTGGTCTTGTCAGTTGTGGGGCTTGAAACTCAGGGCCTAGGCACTGTCCCGGAACTTTTTTTTTTTTTTTTTTTTTTTTTGGGGTCCGGTCATGGGGCTTGAACTCTGGGCCTGGGCGCTGTCCCTCAGCTCTTCAGCTCAAGGCTAGTGCTCTACCACTTGAGCCACAGCGCCACTTCCGGCTTTTTTCCTTTTGCTTATGTGGTGCTGAGGAATCGAACCCAGGGCCTCAGGCATGCAAGGCAAGAGCTCTACCACTGAGCCACCTTCCCAGCCCTGTCCCGGAACTTTTTTAACTCAAAGATAGCGTTCTACCACTTTGAGCCACAGTTGTACTCTGGTTTATAAATAGTTAATTGGAGATGAGTTTCACAGACTTTCCTGCCCAGGGTGGCTTCAAACCTAACTGTGTGGTCTTGTGACTATTTAAATCTAGTATCTGTGGCAGAAAGAACAACTGAATGTTTCTCAAAGGATAATTTTGTTTGTTTTAGTCAGTCATGGGGCTTGAACTCAGGGCTTGGAGGCTGTCCAGATTACCCTTTAAATAGCCAGCAAAAAACGACTGAAGGTATGGTTCAAATAGTAGTAGAGCATAGGCTAACAAGCTCGAGGCTACCTTCCAACCCCTGTACTGTGTTGTGTCCCCACACACACCCAGAAAAGGAAAGTTTGCCCAAATAATACAGAGATCCTATAGAAATTAACAGTACAAAAAAGCTGGTTGCTGGTGGCTCATGCTTGTAATCCTAGCTACTCAGGAGGCTAAGATCTGAGGACCACAGTGAAGCCAACCTAAGCAGAAAAGGCTGTGAGACTCTTTATCTCCAATTAACCACCATAAGACCAGAAGTGGCACTATGGCTCAAGTGGTAGATTGCTCTCCTTGAGCTGAAGAGCTCAGGGACAGTGCCCAGGCCCAGAGTTCAAGACCCAGGACCAACAACAACAACAAAAAAGACACCGGAAAACAAGTAGAAAAGTAACTACAGATCAGAAAAGGCTAAAAATTAAGCAGACTGAGTTAGGAAAAGCCAAGGATATACAAGCCAGTTTATGTCCCAGCACTCCAGAAAGGTCACTAGTTCCAGTAGAGATGTGGGTAGGATTTAAAAGGCAAGGATTAAATGGAAAATTGAAAAATAACTCAGTTCCAATAACTTCTATTATGGCATATTGTTATGATTGCCACATTCTGTACTTTTCTATTGTACCTAATTTATAAACTAAACTATCATATGTGTACATAGCTTATATATACATACATATATATAAAATTCAGAGAGGTGGTGTTTATTTCTTTTTCTTTCTCTTTTTTGTCTGAGGCCCAGTCTTGAACTGGATATCTGTTGCTTGCTTTGGCTCATTGACTGGTGCTCTATGACCTGAGCCATGCCTCCAACCCAGAGAGATTATATTTATAAAACTACTTTTCCCAAGAATAATGGGAATGTCAGTTTTACCCCCAAATTGGTATTGTCATAAACTAATGAAGAATAGTAGCATCTTTTTCCTTGCTTTAGGTTATCTGCCATATTCTTACATCTTCCTGGACACCTGTGATCCATCCATTTCTATACTTCATTGCCTGTGGGTTTTATTTTTTATTGATATCTTGCAGCACTATCTACTCACACAAATGGGTAATTAATAAGGCTTTAAGAAGTTAAGAGTTGGGCTGAGAGTGTGGCTTAGTGGTAGAGTGCTTGCCTAGCATGCATGAAACCCTGGGTTCAATTCCTCAGTAACCACATACATAGAAAAAGCCAAAAGTGATGCTGTGGCTCAAGTGGTAGAGTGCTAGCCGTGTGCTGAAGAGCTGGGGGACAGCACCCAGGCCCAGAAGTTCAGGCCCCACGACGGGCAAAAAAGGAAAAAATTTATAGAGCTGGAGGAGTGGCTCAAGTTAGTAGAGTGCCGACCTCACAAGCATGAGGCCCTGACGTCAAACTCCAGTACTACTCTTCCAGAAGAAATAGAGTTATAGAAAACTAAACTTTTATTTATGGTGTTAGCTACTAGGGACTGAAGCAAGTGCCTCATACATTCTAGGGAAGTGTTCTGCCACTGAGCTACAGCCCGGTGGTATACTTAGAACCTAGAGCTTGCTAGCTTGCTTGCTTGGCAGTTACTTTACCACTTGAGTCACACCTTTAGTCCTGCTTTTTTTACTGCTTATTTTTGGAGAACAGTCTTGTAGATGTTTCTGCCCAGATTGGCCTCAAAACATGATGCTCTGGAACTCAGCCTGGCACAAGCCACCAACTAAGATTACAGGCATGAGCTACCAGTACATGGCTCTGATAACTTCTTTTTTTTAAATAAACTCAGATTCTTTTGGTTATAGCAACCTCTATTCCTCACTTTTTCCCAAATTATTGCAGTATTCCAATTTAGAGGATTTTATGGTCATTTTAATTGGGTGTGGGTGTGTGGGTGGCTTGGGCTTGAACTCTAGACATCCTGCTCTCATTTGGCTCTTTTGCTCATAGCCAGCACTCTACTATATCTGTATTTTCAGCTTTTTGATGGTTAGTTGATGGTAACAATTCCTGAGATTTGTCTGCCCTTGCTGGCTTTGAACTTCAGTCCGCAGATCCCAGCCTCCTAAGCAACTAAGATTATAAGCATGAGCCATTGGAACCTGGCTTTTTTATTAGTATATATTATTTATGTAAAGGGGCTTCATTATGATATTTCCAAACACTCATGTAATGTACTTTGTATGAATTTTCCTACTTTACCCCCCCCCCCCCCCCGCCTTTTTTGGCAATACTGAGGATTGAACTCAGAGCCTCACGCTTGGTAGGCAGGCACACTGTCACTGAACCACCCCTCTAACCCTTTTTTCTGATGGTTATTTTTGACATAGGGTCTCACTTCCTGCATGGATGTGTACATGGGCTTTTATCTGCCTATTTTAGGCTTCCCATTGTAGCTTAGATAACAATCATGCCCCTCTGTATCCAGCTATCGGTTGAAAAGAGTCTGTTAAGCTTTTCTGGTTCAGTGGGGCCTCAGACTGCAATCTTCCCAATCTCAACCTCCCGAGTACCTAGCATTACAAGTGTGAGCCACTAGCACCTGGCTCCCTCTCTTTAAGACAACTTACATAGGCTTCATTATTCTGTTTTCATAAATGCATATCAAGTACTTGGGTCATGTTTAGCTTTTCCTTTCACCCCCCTGATGCCCTTTGTAATGCTTTTTATCATTTTAGCGGCGTCACCCTTTACACCAGAAAGCTGGCGGGCACTATGGGAAAAAAGCAAAACAAGAAGAAAGTGGAGGAGGTACTAGAAGAGGAGGAAGAGGAATATGTGGTGGAAAAAGTTCTTGACCGTCGAGTTGTAAAGGGCAAAGTGGAATACCTTCTAAAGTGGAAGGGTTTCTCGGAGTAAGTTTCATTAAGTCACTATCTGGAGTTTTTTTTTTTTTTTTTTTTGCCAGTCCTGGGGCTTGAACTCAGGGCCTGGGCACTGTCCCTGAGCTTCTTTTACTCAAGGCTAGCACTCTACCACTTCTGCCACAGTACCACTTCCAGCTTTTTCTGTGCATGTAGTACTGAGGAATTGAACCAGGGCTTCATGCGTGGTAGGCAAGCACTCTACCACTAAGCCACATTCCCAGCCCCCACATCTTATAACGTGCTGCCTCAGTTCTGATGGATAGTTTGACACCGTCTGGCCTCCATGTCTTTATAGTCTGATAAGGAGGGGGTCAGCATGCACAGTGTTACAATGCTGGATGCTAGTGATTCTGAGGAACAAGGTGTGTGTTCGTGTGTGTAGACCAGTATATGTTTGCAAAGAAAAGTAATCTTTCCTTGAAAGAGGCAAGTTTCTAAGTTTTCCATATGTAATAAATTTCACCCTTCCCAAGTTGTTGGTCTTAGACAAGAATCTAGCTATTCATTATTAACTCTTCATGTCTTCCTGTGCTCCCGCTAAGTGGAAGTGTGACTTGCTGTGCCTTCTGGTTTCAGTGAGGACAATACATGGGAGCCAGAAGAGAACCTGGATTGTCCCGACCTCATTGCTGAGTTTCTACAGTCACAGAAAACAGCACATGAGACAGACAAATCAGAGGGGGGCAAGCGTAAAGCTGATTCTGATTCTGAAGACAGGGGAGAGGAAAGCAAACCAAAGAAGAAGAAGGAAGAGGTAAGACGAAGTATTTTCACTAGCCCAGAATTCATGTCTTGTTGAGCACAAGGCCAAGCCATTTAAGCAACTTCCTTCTGCCTCCTCTTGAATTTCTGCGGCCATATGTTAGTCCTTCTGAATTCTGAGATAAGCTGATGGTAAAAGGATTTGGAGGCTTACTACTCTTGTGAAAGCCCCAGAATCTATTTTTTGTCCATGGTATAAGACTCATACTGTGTAACACTCATTGGAGTCAGACATATATAGAAAGTGTCATTTTGTGTAAATAGCATTCAGTGTTTTTCAGTAAAAAATTATTATAGTACTGCTCGGGAGGCAGAGATCTGAGGATCATATTTTGGAGTTAGCCCCAGGCATAAGAATCCCAAAGATGCTTATTTCCAATTAACCAACAGATCTGAGTTCAAGACCCAGTACTGGCATTAAAAAAAACCCCACAGGTGGCTCTTTGTGACTTATTCAATACCTTAATTTGTCTTTTGAGGATGAAGAAACAGTTGTAAACATTTATTTTACTTGGGATGTGTGTTCCTTCTCACGTATGGGAGGACTTCATGCGCTTCAGACCTTGATGGAATGAATACTCGCTCCAAAGGATTCTGAAAGGCCTGGTGTTTGAAGTCAACATGTTAGTAAAATACTGACAAAAAGAGCTTGAGATTACTTTAATCAGATGCCCAGGAATAACTTCATTTTGGGTTACAATCCCATAGAGATAAAACTGTTCTGCTCATCTGGTTTTTACAGTCAGAAAAGCCACGAGGCTTTGCCCGGGGTTTGGAGCCGGAGCGGATTATTGGAGCTACAGACTCCAGCGGAGAGCTCATGTTCCTGATGAAATGGTGAGTCTGCCAGTGGCTCTGTGTGGTTTTTTCCTTCTTCCCATCTGTTCCATGCCAGAGGAAAAGAGCTGGATCTTCGAAATTCCAGTCGCCCAAGTGTGAAATCTTTAAGATGGCATAGTCCTTCGATAGTGACCCTCAGCCTGACTGCCAACCTGGACTCATGAGTTACAGGTAGGGGCACTTAGGATTCTCAGATCTTTGCCCTTTTTGGTTTTGGTTTTGGTTTTTGTCTTTTTAGGAGGTGGGAGAAAATCTAGAGTGAAAGGGTATGGGGAAGAGTCACATTTCAGTCTGAAAGTAAAGGGGGAAAAAAAACACTTGAAATGTGATTGGTCTGACCTTCCCTTCTGCCACCTCCTTAATAGAGATCTGGCTGACCTTAGGATCCAGATATTCAATTAAAGGTTCAGATTAAGAGAGGATTAGAAATACTTCCTTTGTAGATTCAGAATCAGCCAGCAGGGGTCAGCAAGGCCCCTTCACTATTATTGAACATAAAGTAAACCTACTTTTTTTCCATGATACTCAGGATAGTAGTACAGGCATGTGTCACAAACCAAAAGAAATGTGTGACATAATTGTATGTGCAATACATTTCTGTGACTGGAAGCACAGTGGGTATGTTTATACCACTATCACCGCAACATGAGTGATCGTACCGCCATGTCACTAGAGGGGTAGCTTTTCAGCTCCACTGTAATCCTTTGAGGTCACCGTCAAACATTGCTATGTTGCCCGTGACAGCACTCTAACCTTAATGAAGACAGTTCTTGTGGAACCTTAAGAATTATAATTAACTTAAAATTCTCTATAACTTCCTTCTTCTCTGCCCAAAAAGAATTCTTTCTTGGGAATTGAAAATGCTTTTGCTGTAGGGCACCAGTGGCTCATGCCTGTAATCCTAGCTACTCAGGAGGCTGAGATCTGAGGATCACAGTTCAAAGCCAGCCCAGGCAGGAAAGCCCATGAGACTTATCTCCAACTGCTGGAAGTGGCGCTGTAGCTCAAGTGGTAGACCTCTCGCCTTGAGCTGAGAGCACCCAGGCCCAGAGTTCAAGCCCTACGACCAACAAAAAAAATAAAGTGCTTTTGCCAAACTTTTTCTCCAAAATGGGCCTCCACCAGTGTCCTTAAAATATAAAGCTCTAACTTTAAACTTCATAGTAGGATTTACTAAGTACAGCTAATGTGCACTTCCTCTATTTGTAACCACTTTGAGTTACAGTGGTACCTTTTTATTACTGTACTTAACATTTCATTAGCTAGGCACTGGTGGCTCATGCCTGTGACTGGAGGATCCTGATTTTTCTGATACTGGGGTTTGCACTCAAGAGCCTCAAACTTAGCAAGCAAACACTTTACCCGCCAGCCCGTTTTTGCCGAGGATAATCTTGTACAATCCACCTACCTATGGCCACTCCTATAGCTGGGATTGCAGGCACATACCATTTCAGACTAATTGGTTGATTTGGCGTCTCAGTAACTTGACCTAGGTTGGCCTGAAGCTACATAATCCTGAACTTCGCCTCCTGAGAGTAGCTGGGAGTAGAAGAGGCATGTATGGCCATGTCTGGCCCATTAAAAAATGATTTCTCTGTGTCTGGAAGAAGAGTTCAATGGTAGAGCATTTGTCTAACATATACAAAACCCTAGATTCCATCACATACACACATAATAAAAGTATTTTGTTTTGTTTCCTGGAGAGTAGAGATACCTGATTGTTTCTGAAAGTAGTAAATATTCCTCTCAGCATGCCTCAGATTACTCAGACTGATACAGTCCACAGTCCATTTTCCTCCCTTTCTCTTGGTTTGCTTACTCACAAAAACAACTTTACCAGCTTTATTCTACAGTTCCTTTTACGATTCTGGAGATTTGGGGTGGTACCTTGTTGGTGATATATCTGCTGCCTGTCCTATATTAATGCTTCCATCCAAGATACCCCCCAATGATCCTAGGGTTTTACTCCTGGTTCCCTTAGAATGTATGGCTTTCAGATTTTGAGAACATTTTAATTGGGGAAATATATAGAGAATTATGGAACAACCATCTTCTATCTCCTCATTGAAGAACCATTTCAAAATAAGGAAATTGTGTGAAGATGACATTTGATAGTGTTAAGCAGCATAATTTTGAGTAACCAAGAAAGTGCCAGATCGATATTGAGCCCCACAAAGTACAGGTGGCTCTGTGAACAGTCAGCTGGAATACTGCTTTTGGAAGAGTGGGTGCTCCTCTTCTTGGGATTCTAGAGAATCGAGCTTTTTTGGTTTTGCCTTTCTGAGAATCCACTGAATTTTTCTACAAGGGAGGATTTCTGAGGATGTCACTTGTCTGAAAACTGGCAGTAAATGCCACATGGGCCGTGTTTTCACCATTCCCTAGCTTGTTTCTTGGATGATCCAAGTTAAAAGCAGCAGCAGCAGCAGCAGCAGCTCTCAAAGTCTCTCTGTGCTTTATTCTGCAGGAAAAACTCTGATGAGGCTGATCTAGTCCCTGCCAAGGAAGCTAATGTCAAGTGCCCACAGGTTGTCATATCGTTCTATGAGGAAAGGTTGACGTGGCATTCCTACCCCTCCGAGGATGACGACAAAAAAGACGACAAGAATTAACTCCAGAGTAGCAGCCCCTGTCACCTCTGACTGTGGGTTTGAAATGGGGAGGAAGGAGTTCTCCTTGTCTTGACACCATAAGGTGGCTTGAGAAGATGTCCTTTGAAGAGCCAGTATCGTTTCTATGCCCTGCAGCAGCCCAAGTGCTTTAAAGCCGTTCCACGCTATATAGTTTGCACACCCATCCCAGTGGAGGGGGAAGGGTTAAGTGTTTCAAGGCAACCCACTCTGCATTTTGCTGAGAAACGCAAAGGGCCTTCTATGAAGGACAGGACTTGCAGAAGTGGGTGTGTGGGAGAGCAAAAAGATACTGTTGATCTTCAAAGAGCATCTCCACAACCCACAGCCTTCTTCCCAATAGTGTTAACTGCATTTTTACAGCGTAGCATGTGTGTAGTTTTGGCTATTACTGGTGTATTATTTGGGATTGGGAGGGGTGGGCTGGGAGGAGGGGAGATGAAGATAGGATCATTTTGATTTAAATTTGGGGCTTGATTGGGGAAATGGTAAAACAATGGAGAGAACACCTAATGATTTGGTTCCGTGTTCAGAATATTTTACCTTTTCAAAAAAAGTAACATAGACACCATAAATAGGGACTGTGTAGAGACTGCTGAAAAGCTGTGAATGAGATGTTCCCTGACTCGGCTTCATGCTGCCTATGAGGCTAAGCCAGTTCCTAAATTACCAAAGCTGCCACTGTGGAGAGGGCAACAAATTGAGGCAGAAGGGGGGTCAGGGGGGGTCCTTTATTGAAGAGTATACACAGGCAGACCATTCTGTCTTCAAGGTGCTAAATCTTGAAATTAGAAAAGGATCCCTCTTTTTTTTTTTTTTTTTCTTCCAATTATGTTTTCAATTTGTCCACTTAAGTCACTGGCTTGAATTGTTTGGGGAAGGCTGAGGGAGTGTAGGAGGTAGAAGAGCCTCGTGCTCTTACGGTAAAGCTTGTGATCTGTTTTTTGATCTTTGAACTCTGAGACCATTAGTGTCAGGGTTCAGTCACAGCACAAATTTCATTGAGTCGCTCCAAGGGTTAATTATTCCAAAAGCTCTGGTCTCAGGAGATTAACCTTTCATACTAGGGCAGTGCTTTCCTCAAAAAGTACAAAAAAAAAAAAGTGCAAAACAATTGTAAGATTTAACAGCTACCCAAAAGTATCCTTTTGTCTTTTTTTTTTTTGTGTGTCCCCCTCCCCCCCCACTGAGACAAGGTCTTGATATATAGCTTAGGCTGGCCTTGAACTCTCAATTCTCCTGCCTCGGCCTTCCAAATGCTGGGATTATAGGCATATACCACCATGTCCAGCTAAAATTGCTCTATGGATTCTTGACATTAAGACCTACATCTACATTGTAAAATCTTTTTAGGCATGTGTTAGACATCTGTGAAACTTTTGTTTAACTGTACACTTCATACCATACTGTCAGTTTTTGTCTTAATAAAACTATAGATTTATAATCCCGGGTTTCTTGTCTTTTTTTTTTTTTTTTAATAGTATGTTGCTATGTTGTCTGGGCTGGCTTGAAATTTTGATCCTCCTGTCTCAGCCTCCTCAGGACTGGGGTTAAAAAAATACAAATAGGGGCTGGGAAGATGGCTCAGTGGTAGAGCGCTTGCCTTGCATGCCTGAGGCCCTGGGTTCGATTCCTCAGCACCACATAAGCAAAAAGAAAGAAAAAAGCCGGAAGTGGCGGTGTGGCTCAAGTGGTAGAGCGCTAGCCTTGAGCTGAAGAGCTGAAGGACAGCGCCCAGGCCCAGAGTTCAGGCCCCACGACCGGACCCAAAAAAAAAAAAATACAAATAGGCACAACACATCTTAAGTAAGCTTTGGGAAATGTTCAGAGAACATTTCTTCAGGCAGTGCAAAAATGAGTTTATTGGATATCTTCCATGAAATTACAGAATACTGTAAACCTCTGGCCCAGGAGTTGTATATGAATTATTTACTACCTTAGTTACTATTAGGAAAGGAGAGCTGATTAATATAGATGATATAAGTTTCATTCTATCTCCCTACCTCCATCCAAAGCATACACCACCATACTAGGCAACATTGGTTATCTTGAAGTGTCAGATACTCAGGCTGGGAAGGTGGCTCAGTGGTAGAGTGCTTGCCTTGCACGCATGAGGCCCTGGGTTCGATTCCTCAGCACTACATAAGTAAAAAGAAAAAAAGCCGGAAGTGGTGCTGTGGCTCAGGTGGTAGAGTGCTAGCCTTGATCTGAAGAGCTGAGGGACAGTGCCCAGGCCCAGAGTTCAGGCCCCACAACTGACCAAAAAAAAAAGTGTCAGATACTGACAGAGCCAATCAAAATCTTGCTCCTCCAGTCTTTAGTTGGATTTTTGTTTAGGGTTTTTAGGGGATAATATAATCAGAAACTTTCGGCAGGTATCTGGGGCTTGAACCCAGAGCTTCCGCACACACCACTGATGTTCTACCACTTGAACCATGCCTCCAAAAGCCGTTTTTTGCTGGTTAATTGGAGAATGGGTCAAGCTTGGGCAGTCTTAGAGCCCTGCTGGCTTCAGATACTGCTCCTCTGGCCCTCAACCTCCTAAATAGCTAGGATTTTAGTGTTGAACAACTTGCTGCTATGGCCTCCCAAGATTGAGATTACAAGTGTGTACCACTACCAGGTACAATATAGGTTTTTAATAACCTTATTTAAATCCTTAGTTTCAGATATTCCAGAAAATTCTGTGGTCAGATTCAGTTCAATTTTTTTTTTTTTTTTGTCAGTTGTGGGCTTGAACTCTGGGCCTGGGCGCTGTCCCTTAGCTCTTCAACTTAAGGCTATAGCACTCTACCACTTGAGCCACAATGCCACCTCCAGTTTTCTGATGGTTAATTGGAGATAAGAGCCTCATGGACACTTTGAACTGTGATCCTCAGATCTCAGCCTCCTGAGTAGCTAGGATTACAGGCATGAGCCACCGGCACCCGGCATTTCAAAGTGTCTTTGATCATTTGGTATTTGTCTGTAGCCTAGCACATCTTTATGGTCCATGATCTATGGCATTGGAATATGAATTACAAGGCAATTCCCTTACAGTAAAGGAGGGAGGGGGTGCAAAACGATTAGATTACTACTGCAAAATAATTTGGGATAGAATGTGTGTATGTGTGTACTGATGCTTGAATTGGGGCCTCATGTGCTCACTCTGCTTGTGCCACGCATAACTGGTGCTGTATCAATTGAGACACCTCCACTAGCAGATTTTTACTGTTTGAGGTTAGAGTCAGTTCTGTCTGCCCACAGTGGCTTTGAACCTTGATCTCAGATTTAAGCCTGAGTAGCTAAGATTACAGGCATGAATACCTGACAGGGGTGCCTGGCAAGAACTAGAATTCTGAAACCCAGATCTGGTTCTCTCTACAATACCTCCATATTACTGAACTGTGGAGGCAGGAATAAATCTGTGCACATTAGGCTTTTCCATAAGAAGTCTTCATTTAAAACTTAAGATTGCTAGGATAGGAAATGGAGGTGCAGTTCGAGTGGTAGAGCTAAGTGAAAAAAAATCCAAGGGAGAGCTCCTGGTCCTGGTTTCAAGGCCCAGTACCAACATCCCACCCCCACCCCAAAAAAAAGATTGAGCATGTCCAAGCTCAGGGGCCCCCTAAAATCTGATTGAAACGTAATCAGCTTAAAGGGTGCTTTATAAGAAATGATCATTGGGTAATTTTTAACTCACCTAGAAATAGCCTCACAAGTAGGCTGTAGGTATGGTATATGTGCGCATGCAATCCATCAACTGAAATGCAGTTGTTGTATGGAATATAATTGTGCAAATACCACCAACAGGCCAGCATTCACCTTGTAAAAGTCTTGGCATTTGGTTTAGGGAACATGTGTCAAATAGAGCCATTTAGTTTTGATCTGGGATTAAGTTTGAAAGGAGCTGTTTTAATATCTTAAAACAGCTGTCAGTCTCTATTATCACTGGTTTAGCTGTGTTCAGCATTGGAATTTGCTCTGCCTTATCCAGTGTGTTAAGTTTAAAGTTGTTCATTTCTTGGGGCTGGGAAAGTGGCTCAGTGGTAGAGCGCTTGCCTTGCATGCCTGAGGCCCTGGGTTCGATTCCTCAGCACCACATAAGCAAAAAGAAAAAGCCGGAAGTGGTGCTGTGGCTCAAGTGGTAGAGCGCTAGCCTTGAGCTGAAGAGCTGAGGGACAGCGCCCAGGCCCAGAGTTCAGGCCCCACGACCGGACCCAAAAAAAAAAAAAAGTTGTTCATTTCTTGTAACACAGCTAACTTCTCATTGTCCTGGCCTTATATGCTTTTTACTAAATATACTGCTGAATGTGAAAGTAAATGAAAGAAAACCATTCCGGGAGGAAGAGCATAGTTGCCATGTTGGAGATGGAGAAGCAAACAAAGTGGTCTCTAAGGCTTTTTTGCTTGCATAGGCCAGTTAGGCAAGGCTGAAACATTTAAGTATAGAGTATGTGATGACTATTTGGCTTTTTGTTTTGGTTGATATTTAAATGGCTTAAGATATTCAACAGGAAAACTGGGTCTGCATTGTGCTCTTTCTCTTGGTACCAAAACCAATGCTCACCCCACATAGATTTTTTTTTTTTTGGCCGGTTGTGGGGCTTGAACTCTGGGCTTAGGCGCTGTCCCTGCGCTCTTCAGCTTAAGGCAAGCGCTCTACCTCTTGAGCCACAGTGCCACTTGTGGTTTGCTAGTGGTTTATTGGAGATAAGAGTCTCATGGACTTTCCTGCCCAGGCTGGCTTTGAACCACGATCCTCAGATCTCAGCCTCCTGAGTAGCTAGGATTACAAGTGTGAGCCAGGCTAAGAAGTTGTGTCCCACATACTCAGGATTCCATCCCCAGGAATGAGCAAACCACTCTCAGTAAATCTCAGTAAAGTGGAAGGATCACTTGAGTTCATGAGTTTGAGATCAGCCTAGGCAATTATAGGGACCCTGTATCTCCCCCTCTCCGCGGTGTACACTCCCCCCCCCCCGGAAAAAAAAAAAAAAGGTGGCAGTACATGGCTGGTATGGCTCAAATGGAAAAGTTTGTTTGGGAAGTACAAGCCAAGTTCAAACTCCAGTAATAAACACCCTCTCCCCTCCACCCCCACCCCCCAAAAAAGTAAACAAAGGCTTCAGTCCAGTGACTGAAAACATTCCTCTTGGATAAGGTTTTCACACCACTGAAGACAGCTTGTGCACCAGATTCCTGATTCAGGTATACAGAAACCTTCAAAGACTGATTTAAAAAAACAAAAACTAGAACTCTACTGTTAAGATTTTACATGTATCCCCACTGTTTTCAAATGCTCCATTATCTACTGCAGTGTTCAGAACCAAAGATAAGAACGGTGACAGACTTCTGTTTGAGGAAATAGAAAGGTTATGGTTGGTACACTGATAAAATGAGTAGTCAACGGGTTTGTGAGCCTTTTCACTTGTCAGATGGGACAGAATGTATCAATGACAGGAAATTAAGTTTAACTGACAAGCACATTGGTTCTCCTACACAATATCTATAGCTGAGGAATGAGTTCTGGAAAGGCTAGTAGGTGTTTCTATATGGATACCAGTGGGAACAGAGTTCTTGCTCTCTACCTGTGCACCAGGTAGTTCTCTGAACTAACTTACTTAAGAGGTTTGGAAGTTACTGCCTTAGGTCATTGCTCAAAGGATGAAACAGAAACTTTGAGACTGATAACGAGGTTGGTTTTTTGTTTTTGTTGTTTTTTGCCAGTTGTGGGTCTGAAATTCAGGGCTTGGGCACTGTCCCTGAGTTTTTTTGTTCAAGGCTAGCACTCTACCACTTTGAACCACAGCTCTACTTCTCAATGTCTGGTTAATTGGAGATGACTTTCAAGCCCAGGCTGCCTCTGAACCAATATCCTCAATGTCAGCCTCCCTGGATAGTTAGGATTACAGGCATGAGTAACCAGTGTCCTGCTGAAGAGGCTTTGAGGGCTTTTTTGGGGGGCTTGAACTCAGGGCCTGGACACTGTCCCTGAGCTTCTTTTGCTCAAGGCTAGCACTCTACCACTTGAGCCACAGCGCTAGTTCTGACTTTTTTCTGTTCATATGGTACTGAGGAATGGAACCCAGGGCTTCATGCATGCTAGG